TTCTATTTCCCCCCCTCCACATACACACAGACAAATAACTGTAGGAAATGAGGTGCATTATGCCAGTTTTCATAATATACCTACTCTTCTTAACTGCATCATTTCAGTTTTCTAGTGAACAAAACATGTATGGGGGCATTTGGTCATAAGATATATATTGGTCTATAGATGAATAAATATGCTTCTCCATCTCTCTTTCTCTCTTCTACCCCACTCCACATTTTTCTTTCTTTTTAGAGGAAGAGGTAGGGAAAGTAAGGCTGCATTATGTTTACTGCTCTCATTTTAATGCTCCTGGTACAACTTTCCTTGGTATCTAGGATCCTGAAGATTACTTTTGAGAGCTCTTTAAGTGGCTTCTTCAACTGCAATTGCAGCAGCTCTTTCTTGGAACCTTGAAGAACAAAACTAAAAAGAAATCCGTATCTTTCCCCTCGCAAGTAAAGAAACACATACCGTACTGTAATAATAGCAAAATCAAAGAAAGTAAACAGATGGCTTCTGTTAAAGCCAGCACATCTTATTTATGATCATTTAGCATTGCATCCATTGGTTATTTGAGATGGCCTTTGATGTGAGAACACATAGGTCCAAAAGCAGGCGCAAAGGAGATGAGGAAGAAGCATTATATTAATTTGTATCAGCTGCTGGTGGAGGGTCATTTTTCTGCATATGTGTGGAATGGTCTTATTTGCATGTTTGGCAGATTTCAATAGACAGAGGAAAGGTACACAAGCAGAAGGAAGGGCGGAGATGAGCTAATGAAGAAAGAAAGAAATGCTTGTTAGACCCACAGGAAAGAGAAATAAATTCACAGCTGAAGTTTATAAATTGCATCAGCCCTGCCAAAAAAAAAAAAAGGAGGGGTGCTTATGCAAACTTTGCTCATTGATTTGTAATCCACTCAAATGAAATCTACAAAGGCAATTTCCTCTATGCAACCTGGAGTGCTACATTAGCAGCGTACAGTCACTGCATCTTTCACGTTTATCACAACTCTTTGAACTTTTCAGGAAAGCTTTTATCCTTGCTACCGTAAATTATTATCTAATAAGGGAATGAGGCTAGTGATCCAAGAGGGCTGCTGTTGAGCTATTAAGCAAGATGAATAGGTCAGTTGAAAGTGCCAATTAAGTACAGGGTACTTGGGGGAAGCGAAGGGAGAGATGGTCACTCTCTGGCTGTCGGAAGGTGTTAGCTACGATGGTCATGGGTTGGGTCATGTCTGCATGATCATGAAGTTCTGAAATCTTAGACTTTTGGCGGTTTGAAATAAGCACCAGAAGGACTGGCATTAAGGTAAGTCACACACTCCATTGTATAGGAGACTGAATTACATTCTATGTAGCCCATGTGGACTTGTTTATAGGATTGAGGAGAGATTTCACAGCAACTTGATAATTCAGGATTGCAGTTCCAAAACCATCAGGCTCAATCTTGGAATGCATGAGCAACCCCCAAAGTATCTCTGACCCCCCTACAAAAACACAAGGAGCCCCCATCAGTGTAAATACCGTAATTTTTGCTCTATAAGACTCACTTTTTCCCTCCTAAAAAGTAAGGGGAAATGTGTGTGTGTCTTATGGAGCGAATGCAGGCTGCGCAGCTATCACAGAAGCCAGAACAGCAAGAGGGATTGCTGCTTTCCCTGCGCAGCGATCCCTCTTGCTGTTTTGGCTTCTGAGATTCAGAATATTTTTTTTCTTGTTTTCCTCCTCCAAAAACTAGGTGCGTCTTGTGGTCTGGTGCGTCTTATAGAGAGAAAAATGCGGTAGGTTTGTGGAACTGTTGCCAAAGCCTTCCTCTACTCCTGACCTAGTTGGTGCAAAGCTGCTGCAATGCTGTTGTCTTTAAGCTCAGCCTACAATCACAACAGAGGTGAGGGGAAAGTGCCCAGTTTTCTTTAGCATCCTTCAGCCATGGGCCTGGGCATTAGGCTGAGAAAGGCTGCTTTTCACTCAAGCAGACAGGAGCCTCCAAAAGAGCTTCGTGTACCACCAGGGCCTGTGGGCAAAAGCCAGGGCTTACAGGTGTCTTCCCCTGCTCCTGAGGATCCAAAGGCCTCTCACAGCACATGCCAAGCCCAGTGGTGCAGGGAGTGTACCAGGTGGTAGGCTAAGGAATGGAGGAGGGAGGGAGTGCCTGTCTTCAAGCCAGAGGGTTGGCCCCCTGAAGCTCCTGACAAGGGGGCAGAGCCCAGGAGAGGAAGTCTTGAGGCTGAGGCTTAAAAAGGCTCAGTCTACTCTCAACCTCTATTTGAGCAAGTTGGTCACTTGGAGCTTTCTGTGGTCAGGCAATTCTTGCCCTGTAGAATCCAGCGGCAGACCAGAACACCTTTTGGGAGCTGGGGTGGTCAAGGTGTTAATTAAAAAGGAAAGTGCCAAGTCTTTCCTCAGTATTTCAAAGGAAGTCTCCGATTGTGTTTTCGTAAGTGGTGGGAATTAGGTGGCTTGGCAGCTTTTAGCTGTAATGGGGAACTTAAAGAGATTCAGGGCCGGCCTTTGTCACACCACACCTGTCCTGTGCCTTAGCACACTGCACTCTACTGTTTTAAGCTATTCTTTCCCTGCTGACTCACTTCTGGCATTGGAGCCAAGCTTGGCAGAAGCAGTTAGCTCAGTTGGTTAGAGCATGGTGCTGATGATGCCAAGGTTGCAAGTTTGATCCCCGTATGGGACAGCTGCATATTCCTGCATTGAAGTGGGTTGGACTAGATGATCCTTAGGGTCCCTTCCAAGTCTACAATTCTATGATTTCTATGAGTTTAAAGCAGCAGAGTATGGTAAAGTGAAGTAGGAGGAGGGTGTGGGCTTCACTCTCCTCTTCTACTGCTTTTTATATAAAACATTAACCCACCCCTGCCTTAAAATCAAACAGGCATGTTTCATAAACACTTCTATGTACAGTTTGACCCAATTCTGTGCACCTCCATCCTGCAGTTAAGTTGCATATCACAGTCTTTGGGCACAAGCCACCTGATGCTGCAAATGAAACAAGGAAAGAAATTTAGAATTGAGGCTTGCATCTAATTAGATACCTTGGCATAAATAAAGACCAGTGGACCAGTTGTGGGGGTTTTTAACAGCCTCCTCCAGCTTAACCCCCCTCCTCCATATTGTTATTATCTCAGCTACTAGTAAGCTGTGTGGGATCTCACTGGAATGGTACAGGAGGAGCAATGTTTACTTCAACTGTTAACAATAAAATGCCCTCTTGCGCCAATTAAAAGAACTTGTTTCCAAGAGTGATGTTTCATGTTGCATAATTTGTAAAAGTAATCATTTCCCTATGGATCCTTGAAAGTGCTGAAGCAGAGGGTGTGTGTGTGTGTGTGTGTGTGTGTGTGTGTGTGTCTTAATAGCAAAACAAACTACACACAATTAAGAGTTTTCAATGGTAGCTCTTGATTGGGGGGGTGAATTTGCTTTTGGGCACCTGGAAGTTTTAATTTGAACTACTTCCTCTAGTTCAACTTTGAATCAGGCATGCAGAGATTGGAGGAGAGAGAAAAATATCAATCCCAACTTTATAGCTCAGAAACCTCTCATTTGTATGCAAATGCCACACGGTGACTTCCAGGGGAAAATTTCACTGTGTTGCAAAGGGGCTTATCAGTGCAACTCAGAAGCTAAATCCCTGCGTACCTCACTGAGCATTTGCCCTATGCATACCTCTTAATGTGTTCAAAACAAGACATGCTGTGAAATTCAGAAATCTACTTACGTTTGGAGGGGAATGAAATTGGCACTCATGAAGGGCCAGAGCAGAGTATACTGTAGTGCAGATAACATGCCTGCACGCACTTGAGTCATCCCCTGGTCTTTAACTGGGGCATTCTGATATCTGGCCTCCCCAACTGGCTGCAATGCTGATCTCCAGCCTTTCTATGCAACTGATTTGCTCTTTTCCCCCCTCCAAATTTCTGCAGTTGTTCCCTCTCACTGTTTTATAGTGACCTGCAATTCTTGGACTACTCCAGTTAGATTTACCACTTTGCTGCTTTCATGCTTAAAAGAGATTTTGGACCATCTGGCCATTTTTTCCTTTAGCTCAGCCTAAGTGCTAGACAACAAGCCATTTTCCCATTTGCATGCATTTTGAAGAACGAGCATGAGCAAATGAGACTGAAGTGTTCTCTCCCTCTTCATGCTCCCTTGGGGGTGGGGAGAATGCACATTGCAGGGGCAACTTCTTGACTTCCTAGTTGCATATTGCATTGCGCAGCTGAAGGCCCCTCTTCTCCCCCAGTCCCTTGACACTCTTGCACTCACTACAGACATAAGGATGGCACAGGACATGCCATCCTTTTTGGGTTCTTGTTGGGTTAGCAGGCACCAGCAAGGAGAGAAGTATTAAAATTAACCTTTCCTTAGTCAAATATTCAAGATATATTTTATGACCCTTCTGATCACCTGGAGTAAATTGAATACCCCTTATCCATTTGTTTGTCATCTTTGTGACTCATCCACTTCTTCTTTGTTCAGTCCTGTAGCACACAATCAGGAATGCATGAAGTAACCCTGGGAAAGACCAGTAGCTAATTTTCCCCCTGGCTCTCTCTCTGCTGATGAGCAGGAAGCAGGCCATGCAAGCTGTGCACCTTTTGGCTCTGTAGTTACCATTGTGAATCGGGTTGGTGTTGGTGCAGTAATATAAGCTATATCAGATGCACTGTGTGGACCTTCCAGTCCCTGAAATAGAGATGCCCTTGGTGGTAGTGGATAAGAATGAGGATAGCAAGAGCAATCTCTATTATTTCTTTCAATGCGGAGCAAGTGGAAGCATCAGAATGGAAGAGTAGGAGGCAATAGTGATAAAAATGCACACATGTGCATGCAATAAAAATGCATGTTAATCCCCACCCCCACTGGGAAATAGGTAACAAAAAGAGATTTGGGTGGGTCTTTGGAGAAAGGCTGAAACGTTGAAAATATGGAAGACTATGTCTGTTGGGTAGGCTTGAGCTCTCCTAACTCGCCTCTTTTGCTTTTATTCCACAGTCTGTTCCCCTACTGAGTTCCAGTGCAGCAACAAGACCTGCATAGCTACAATTTTTGTCTGTGATGGTGACGATGACTGTGGTGATGGCAGTGATGAGAGGAAGTGCCCGCCCCTCACCTGCAACCCCAACGAGTTCCAGTGCAATAACAGCCTGTGCATCCCAGAGATCTGGGTCTGTGACAATCAGCCTGATTGTGAGGACCATTCCGATGAGTCAACGGAGAAGTGTGGCTTCAAAGCCAAGCCGCAAGCCACGAGCACCTGTGCAGCTCACGAGTTCCGGTGCGGCAATGGAGAATGCATCCATCTGAACTGGAAATGTGACGGAGATGAGGACTGCAAAGACAAGTCGGACGAGCAAGATTGTCGTAAGTGTCCATAGGGCATTGAAGGGTACATGGGGAGTTAGCCTTCTCATGGGGTATTTTTGTGGGCCTGTCAACGGTCATCTATCCTAAAGTGATTGCCCTTGCAATCCAGCCCTATGCGTCCTTACTTGGAGGTAACGTCTCACTGAGTTCAGAGGGTCTTACTCCCAGAGATTCATAGAACTGCAGCCTTTCATGATTACATGTGAATCAGTGAATCGGAGGTTGAAGTGAGTTGCAAAAGAGCTGCCACCACCAAGCCAAACCAGGGCTGCTTTTTTCATGCATCTTTTATCCCAAGATAAGGTGTCATTAGTGGATTAGGTTGCTGTTCCATACTGACCTGTGAATCACCCAAGATAATTAGGAAAATAGTGTTGCTGAAACTCTGGGTTATTACTTCAAGATAAAAATTCTGAAATGCAGCCCCATGATAGCTAAATTATTATGGTAGAAATGAGCCCACAGGCTCCCAAGAGCAACATGTTATATTTTTAAAAGCAAACTTTATTACTCTGTGTGTGTGTGTGTGTGTGTGTGTGTGTGTACACGCATGCACACACACAGAGACACACACAGACAGAGCAAAACACATACAATTTGTACCCAAATGTGACTTCAGCAGTTTCAGAAAAGCATGTATTTTAGATAGAACCTGCTTCAGATTCCCCTTTTTATAAATTATTTCCTTGAAATGATAATATTCTCACCATCTTATTCCTTTTTACATTTTCTTTATACAGTCTGTAGGATTATACCCATTTGGGGTATTTCCGCTACTGTTTTGCAATTACTATTATTTCCATTTTCTTTCTATGTATATAGTACAGTGGTACTTTGGTTGTCAAACGGCTTGGCTCCCAAACAAATCGGCTCCTGAACGCTGCAAACCTGGAAGTGAGTGTTTCAGTTTGTGAATGTTTTTCGGAAGCTGAACGTCCAACATGGCTTCCATGGCTTCTGATTGAGTGCAGGAAGTTCCTGCAGTCAATTGGAAGCCGTGCTTTGGTTTTCGAATGGTTCTGGGAGTTGAACGGACTCCCGGAACAGATTAAGTTCAACAACCAAGGTACCACTGTATAATAATAATCTGCACCCTTATTTATTGAATTACATATTAGCCCTTGAATCCATGAGCAACAATTCTAGGCAAAGTGATAACGCTGCTAGCTTCTGTACAACATTTCTCCTGGCAGTTGGGTAACCCGTCAGAGTTGATGGGCTAGTTAATTCTCTTAAGGCTATCCATAGAAAAACATTAGCAGTATACTTTTCTGCTCCTGAACTGAGACTACTGAAGAAACACTGCTATCTACGGCTCCATAAGTTTTGCATGCTAAAATAGAAGCTCCTCTCACAGAAGTCATCACAGTGTTCACAGCCCCAAGTTACTGAATAATGTATTTCTCTCCAGTTAGCTTTGTGCCTTCCACAGATTGCTGCAATGTTTGGGGATGTTTCATCCATTTTTCAGATGCTAAAAAGCTTAAGCTGGTCATTCACCCAATGACTGTGGGAAAGAGAGAAGGAAATGGAGAAAATGTTTCACTGAAATATTCATAATTGTGACACAGGAATGACATGAAATATTTACATTTAACAGCTACGTGTAAGCAGGATGGCTGACGAATGGCCATCTGTGAGGGCTGAATTTTTTCGTTCCCTTTAGAAAGCCTCTTTCAATTTACATACAAAACTGGGGGAAATCACTGGATATCATATGAATAAGTCCAATAACTAAGCGATGCCTGCCTTCAGGAATTTAACTCTGGTTTAAAAATCTCCCTTTGGGCTCCTGCATATACCACTTATTTTTCCCATCCAATCTTTGTCTTCCATCTTGCTTTTGTGACACCTCTTTCCTATATTGTGGCAAGGAATCTTAACAGGAACAGCCTAGAATTTTCTTCTTCCTTCCATGCTTTTTTGTTTTTAATAGCTTGTTCGGATCAGTAAGATGGTGTCTTATCCAACATGTGTCATTTTAATGTCTTGGAGACAAACATTATTTGTTTGTTTGTTTGTTTGTTTGTTTGTTTGTTTGTTTGTTTGTACCCCACCCATCTGGCTGGGTTTCCCCAGCCACTCTGGGCGGCGAAACCAAAAATACACTAAAATATCACACATTAAAAACTTCCCTAAACAGGGCTGCCTTCAGATGTCTTCTAAATGTCAGGTAGTTGTTTATCTCTTTGACATCTGATGAGAGGGCGTTCCACTGGGTGGGCACCACTAGCGAGAAGGCCTGCTGCCTGGTTCCCTGTAGCTTTGCTTCTCGCAGTGAGGGAACCGCTAGACGGCCCTCGGTGCTGGACCTCAGTGTCCGGGCAGAACGATGGGGGTGGAGATGCTCCTTCAGGTATACTGGGCCAAGGCCGTTTAGGGCTATAAAGGTCAGCACCAACACTTTGAATTGTGCTTGGAAACTGGGAGCCAATGTAGGTCTTTCAGGACCGGTGTTATATGGTCTCAGCGGCCACTCCCAGTCACCAGCCTAGCTGCCCCATTCTGGATTAGTTGTAGTTTCCGGGTCACCTTCAAAGGTAGCCCCATGTAGAGCGCATTGCAATAGTCCAAGCGGGAGATAACTAGAGCATGCACCACTCTGGCGAGACAGTCCACGGGCAAGTAGAGTCTCAGCCTGCATACCAGATGGAGCTGATAGACAGCTGCCCTGGATACAGAATTGACCTGCGCCTCCATGGACAGCTGGGAGTCTTCCACACCAGCCTGCCCCTTGTCCCCCAAGAACAGTACTTCTGTCTTGTCAGGATTCAACCTCAATCCATTAGCCACCATCCATCCTCCAACCGCCTCCAGGCACTCACACAGGACCTTCACTTCCTTCACTGGTTCCAATTAAAAAGAGAGGTAGAGTTCGTTTTGATGTAGGCTAGAAACAAGCCTTCTGCCTGCATGTTCTTTCCTCTCTTTCCTTTTCCCTGTTTTTGCATGCCTTGATTCAATACCTTCTGGTTTGTTAAAACCACAGTTTTCTATGACATTGAGCTGATAAATCACGATTTGATATCTTTGTTTGCAGGGAATGGTCAAGCCACAGTTTGAGTGTGGCTTGCTATTCTGGTGTATACATAGCGCTCAAACCAGAGTTTTCAAATGTGAACATAATACAGAAAGTATTGAATTAAAGCACAAGAGAGAGGAGAGGAAGCCACAGGCATGCAACACATCCCTGGTCCAACAAACCATAGAAACCATGATTTGTTGAGCAAAGACCGTTAGGTCTGAAGCAGGCCACAGTGATTTTTTTCTTCCTGGAGATTTATTCCCATGCACACATTCCAGTACTGTGGACCATGTTCAACCTAGTAGAAGTGGAAGCAAGCACAAGGGCTCCTGCTAACACAAAGGGACTTTCCCCCTTTCCTCTCCCTGAGGACTCCCAGAATTGCTCATTGAGGGGGTTGTTCTACTGGGCAAACAGAAATGCTTGAGCTGGCATAATGTTTGCTTTAGTGCAATATTGAATTCTTCTCATGTTTATTGTGTAAAGTTCAAAATTCTCCTTTAAAAACATTGACATTACAAGGTCTGCTCTGGTCCCACTACACTTCTTTGTAGTGTACGTAATAGAGGGATGTCAGGAATTAAAACTGAATCTGTCCTGAGGCCAGGTTCTTTCACTTGTTGCTGTAATTACTTTGAAAGAATGAAAGCACTGGCTATGTGTTAATTATGATAAATAGTAAAAATGCTTTGGCAGACAAACAAAAAGGGAGATGAGCAGATGAACCAAAAAATAGAAAAGGTTTGCTTCGGTGGGTGATATTTCTTGTTTCTGTAGAAGTATTAAATATTTTTTAAATCCCTTAAAATGTGCTTAGTGACAGAGCACTGTGTGTGGCATCTCCTGCAAAATAATCTGAGGTGATGGTACTGAAAGAGGCCTTTGCTTGAGATAGCTGGAGAATGACTACTGATCTAGATAGACCCTCAGAATAAGGCAACTGAAAGTATCCCTAAAGATATGCATGCCTTTAAAATTATGCATATGACATACAATCCATTTACGTTTGAACAATATGAAATGTAATATAAGGAGTGTTTCAACTATTAATGACATAGCCATAAGGAGACAGGCAGGAGATCAGCATGGATTGAATATGAGCAGTGCAGGGCTTGCAGCAGGTCTGATATGCTTAATGAGTGTGGCAAGCCTCTGGAAATAACCCCGTACAGGTGCATTCTTCACAGTTCCCATTTGTGCTACAAATTTTCACGTGCAACTTTGGACTAATTACTCCAAATGCCTCCATATGGCACATTTTACCAGCTGGCAACAGAAGCCCTAAGCCGTTTGGCGGGTAGGTTTTTCCGGCTGATACAGCAGGAGAACAACCTCATCACCAAACCCTTCAAGCATTTGCATTCTGTGATTCAAGTTAGTGAAGAACGACGCTGCATTGTCCCATCCGTCTATGTTTTCAACCTGCCTTATTTTTTTGTGTTTCCATATTGCTTCACATTAACAGGCTAAATGGATTGTTAACAGGCTGTCATGGGGAAATAAGAACCAGCTTGGTTCTATGGCTGCTCAGATCCCAAGGTGGCAATTTTCAAAATATTTGAATTGCTGATTTTTCGTTGAATTAGCTTAGTCCCATTGACTTCAATGAGGCCAAAGTGGCTTAAGTTGAAGAGGGCTGTGCTTGACAGTAGGTGTCCTATCCGAAACACGGTCCCCCAATGTACCATATGTCGGAAGGTAAACATGTAAAATGTGCCTTTTGGAATAAAAAATACCAGAGATGTTCAGGACAACACCTCGCAACGCAACATCCACTTTTTCTGGTGCTTTCTGCCACATGTTGCTGGATCTAAAAAGAATCCCCATAGGATAATTGCACAAAGTCCTTTTTAAAGGATGTGCTAACATGCAGCACAGAGTGGAAACCTTGGTGTACTCCCACATCTGACTTTCAACAAAGACACTTTTGCACGTTTTGACACTTTGGCGAGTTGGGAGGCATTTGTAACTTACTAAGGACAAACAGAAGCACTATAAAGCATTGTTCAAACAGTTCTCCTTGCCAGAGCATGGTTCAACATAGTGATCTTGAGTCCCTGTTGTGTGTATGTCCAGCATGGGGGATTGTACCATATCATGTTATCATGCCTTATGGTGCCTGCTGTGCTTGTTGCTTGTTGCCTCCTTGCTGTGCCCCAGGGTATTGAGGAGCCATAATTTCTGATCTCCGGGACAGTTTGCGAAATTGCCGCAGAGATTCTCCCGGGAGGCTCTTGGATCACATGAATTAGTGTCTGTGTCATATTGCTCCAGCAACTCAATGGCAGTGATTTTCTGTCATTTAGGATAAGGATGCAATTCCCCAAAGAGGGGGCACTCAAATGAGTGCTTTGAGATAGGTTTATTCAGGGACACTACGGCAGCTGTAAGCTTTGAAATTCAGCTCGGAGGTTGCTGTTTTGCACCCTCTAAAACCTTCAGTTGTTGCTGTTTTTTACTGACAGTTTTTTTTGAAATGATAGAGACAATTAAGCTTGCTGAGCGAAAAGGTCCAGAATAAAAGGGATTGGAAGCAGCTAGGACAAAAGAAGATATCCCCATGGTAGAAGGAACTGTTGTCGACAGCAAGGCCTACTGAGAAAACCATTCCCAGCAAGAAACTGGTCAAGACCATAAGGAGAGTTAATGTACTGAATAGAGTATTGGACGTTTTAAAAAGACAATTCAGACTTCCTCAGTAGAATATGTCTATATTAGGAATGCTTTTTTGGGGGGGTGACATTGATAATTGTTGATGGTGTTTTAGACCCCCTTTCTCTTATATGTACCTGCATAAGGATTTTTAAAAATGATTTATAACATTTCACCACTTTTAAGAATTTTCTTCTTTTAGATATGTATTTATTTATGAATCTGTCCCCAACATCCCAGTATAAGTCTGTATGTATTTTTGTTTGCATTGAAAATTGAATAAGGAGGAAGTAATGAAAGAACTGGGACGCGGGTGGCGCTGTGGGTTAAAGCCTCAGCACCTAGGACTTGCCGATCGAAAGGTCGGCGGTTCGAATCCCCACGGCGGGGAGCACTCCCATCGTTCGGTCCCAGCGCCTGCCAACCTAGCAGTTCGAAAGCACCTTCGGGTGCAAGTAGATAAATAGGGACAGCTTACCAGCGGGAAGGTAAACGGCGTTTCCGTGTGCTGCGCTGGCTCGCCAGATGCAGCTTGTCACGCTGGCCACGTGACCCGGAAGTGTCTGCGGACAGCGCTGGCTCCCGGCCTCTTGAGTGAGATGAGCGCACAACCCTAGAGTCTGGCAAGACTGGCCCGTACGGGCAGGGGTACCTTTACCTTTACCTTTAATGAAAGAAAATCAATGCTCAGCTATGAAGCTCACTGAGTGGCCCTGGGCTATTCACCCTCTTTCAGCCTAACCTCCATAACTGAATGGCTGTGAGGTCAGAATTGGGCAAGTCCCTCTCCCCATGTATGCCTCACTGAATTCTAGTGTGCTGAGCAATGGTGCCAATCCCCTTAGAAGAAACTTCAAAAGAAAAAAAAATAAACAGCAATGTGAAATACAAGATAATTTCTACAAATCGCTCACAGCACCAAATGACGAGCAATAATAAAAAAGCACCCACTCAGCCCAAAATATAAAAACACAATTCCTCTAACTGTTCCTTTTCTAATAACAGTGCAGCAATAAAAATATGATTCACATATTGGTTACCTGAAGAAAATAATTACTTTAGGTCCTTTCCAACGGATGGGAGTGCAGTAGCTTTCCAGAGGTCAAATGGCAATGAATTCCAGAACCCAGAGACTACTGCTAGAAACAGAACTGTTTATTTTGTTTTATTTAAGTTTTCGTTTAAGTCCTGCTCTTTAGGACTAGTCTATCCAAGGCAACTCACAAAGTACAGTGGTACCTCAAGTTACAAACGCCTCAGGTTACAAACGCTTCAGGTTACAAACTCCGCTAACCTGGAAGAGTTACCTCAAGTTGAGAACTTTGCCCCAGAATGAGAATGAAAATCGTGTGCCGGCAGCGCAGCAGCAGCAAGAGGCCCCATTAGCAAAAGCACGCCCCAGGTTAAGAACAGTTTCAGGTTAAGAACGGACCTCTGGAACGAATTAAGTTGGTAACTAGAGGTACCACTGTAATAAGAAGATAGAATAAATTACAATAAAATCACAATCTGTTTTAAAAACAGCATTAACACAGAGGCAGAAAACGTGTGTCAAAATACTCAGAAGTGTGTTAATTTTTATTCCTTTTCCCCCCCCAAGCTCTGGTGACCTGCAGCCCTGATGAGTTCCAGTGTGGCGATGGGACTTGCATCCATGGAGCCAAACAGTGCAACAAAGTGCATGACTGCCCTGACAACAGTGATGAGGCTGGCTGCGTTAACGGTAGGTGCAATCTAACGGTAGGTGTATGGGGTATAGCAGAAACTGTTGCTCTGGAAAGGCTCACATAGATGCTAGAGATGGCATCTAGTCCATTTTTCACGACTCAGCTGCTCCTCACTGTGAACTTCTTGACCACTCAGCAATGAGGCTTCCTCAGGGAAATACCCTCCCCCCCAAAAAAAAAACAACTTTAGTAGGCTTTGCTTTTGTCACATGTTGCAGCTAAATACCCCATTGCCTAATCCCATCCCATTTCTTCTAAATTTCCTCCTCTTGCATCTTTATGTCCTTTCTTCATTTTCACGTGCCTAATCTAACGTCATCTGCTTTCCCTCCCTTGCCTGACGCAACAGAAGCGGCGTGCGAGAATCCCACCAAGTTTCAGTGTAAGAGTGGAGAGTGCATAGAGGAAGTCAAGGTGTGCGATTCGCACAGGGACTGCAGGGACTGGTCTGACGAGCCCCTGAAAGCATGTGGTACAGTACACTACTCTTCTTTATTTTGTCCTCCTCTTTTAACAATCCCTCACATCCTCTGTCTGCTTAGGGCCGTCAGAACAGGGGCATATGGCTTCTGGTGATGTGCCTAATGTAGTTTTTCTGCCCACCTTGTTTGTGTGTCTATTGCATGGGTACAAAAGGAACTGGAATCTAATAGCTTGAGTCATAGGCCGGGCATTGTTCTGAGGAAATGCCCTGTCACATCAGGAAATAAATCCAGGTTGATTGCAAAGAGGTTTGAACTCACACATGATATGAATTTCCCTCGTCTCCTGACCTCTTGCTGATGCTAATTATTTGTTGTAGCTACCGTAAAGTATAAGACAAGGTTTATGTGAATGTTCACATTTCTCTTACAGTTAGGTCTTATAAATGGGTGGCGTGAAGTCAACACACGGGCTCAATTCATTCTTCCATACATTTTATTTGTATGCCTTTTTTGCCCAAACGAAATCATGCTCAACACTGGTTACAAGAAAGAAAACAGGAATGCATTTCAAACAAACACTACAAAAACAATTTCACAATAATATAGCAAAACAATGGCATAGGAATAATGTAGCAAAACAATAGCAAATATAATAACATACCCCAGAAAATACATTTCAATACCATAAATATAATATGGTTACTTCAGGGGTGAGCAAACTTTTTTAGGAGGGGGCCGGTTCACAGCCCCTCAGTGGCGGGCCAGACTGCGTGCACACACAACGCACACAGTGGATGGGGGCTTCCCTCTCTCCCCCAACCCCTCTCCTCCCTTTCCTCCCTCCTCCGAGGCTCTGCCTGCAGTTGGGAGCCACTGGCGGCGGTGGCGCCTCTCCTTTCTGGGTCACCAGCTTTCCTGGGTGACAGACATGGGGCCAGCAGGCGTGCCAAGCTCCAGCCGAAGCCCCGCGACGCTACCATCACAATGCGCCCATCACAATGCCCATAGCGCGGCCATGGACGGAGAGGCCGGCGGGCAGGTGGCGAGTCTGAGCCATGTCTCAGCGCGTGGGTGGCGAGGCTTTGGATTGGCTGGCTGCTGGCACCAATCAAAGCCCAGCTCCCTTCCTCCGCAGGGCAGGGAGAAGCCAGGAGGAGGGAGGAGGCACCGCCACGGTGGGGGGGGGAATGGTGCCCAAAAACAATTGCAGAAAAAAATGGCGCAGCCCGAATGATCATGCCGATCCAAGTGGCGATTCCAGGACCGTCCATGGGCCAGATCCAGAGGGCAATTGGCCCTGATCCAGCCCACGAGCCTTAGTTTGCCGACCTCTGGGTTACTTAAACAGCATGCAGCATCCAGTAGCAAAAAAAGTGTGGTCCTGAGCTTCACCTTAGTCCTAGGAACACCCCTCCTGTGATGTTGTTCAGTGTCCCTCTCCTGCTGCAGCTTCTTAGAAAACCTCCAAGGGCAAGGGGTGGGGTAGCTGGAAACACCCCTACCATGATGTTGCTTCAGATGTGCAGCCAGGTAGTGACAGCATACACGTGGTAGAGAAGTGGGCAAACATGCCGCACTCTCCAGTCCACAGATAATGTCACACACAGTTCCACACAGGGCATTATTTACACAAGCCCCACTACTCTTTCCTAAGGACCACACAAGTCAGGCATCCACAACAGCATATACCTACATGGGCATCACTGATATGCATGAAGTTGTTAGGGGCAGGAGGCTTACCTTCTCCCACACCATGTGAGAGGTGTTGGCACCTGGGTAAGTGCCTGAATGGGACTGTGCAAATGCATCCTCACTTAAAATTTGCCTTTATTTTGATTGCACTCAGCAGGGGTGTGTTTATAAGAAAAGGCCTCCATGGAAGAACAGCAGCTGATTCTTTCCATAAAAATGTATCACGTAAACTCATTATAAAAGCTCTGAGTGATGAGGCGCTGGGCAAATGTCATTAAGGTATAGGAATAATTCAGTTATCTGTGACTTAGAGGTGTATTCAAAAATAGCAGAATCCTGATCACGTCGTTAAATAAGCCAAATGTGTATTGACTGAATAATATTCACCAACAGAGTCGTCTCTTTTGGCATGTTTTTTTATTGACAAGTGATCATGAATTCAGAATAGCGTGTTCCCTTAGAGCAGAGAAAGTATAAGATCTCTTTCTAGGATGATCAAACAAAGCTATTCTTATTGATGTGGACATGACTGAACTGTTAACGCTGCTGAATACGCTCTTGGCCACGAACAGAATCAGATTCTCTCTGAATACATTGTCAAGAAGGGGATTGAACGGACTGAATCTTACCATTATGGCTGTTTTTACTGCTGGTACCATACATGACTGTTTGTTTTTGTGACATCTTGAAGGCTCTGGTTATTTATTATTTATTTAGCATCAATGATAAGGTGCTGTGTAGAACATTCCTCTGTGCCTTGGCCCCATGGTTTCACCGTTTTACCCCAGTTTCTGGGCAAGAGCAAGTCTGCCTTATTTGGCTTTGATAAGGATTACCGTACCTTAGTGCAGGAATTGGGACCCTTGTTGGATTCCGGTTTCCATCTGCCCTCGCTGGCATGGCCAATGGTCAGAGGTGGTGGTAGCTGGACACCACCTCAGTTCCATACCCCTGCTGTTGGGCTGGGTGAGAAGAAGAAGAGTTTGGATTTGATATCCCGCTTTATCACTACCCTAAGGAGTCTCAAAGCGGCTAACATTCTCCTTTCCCTCCTCCTCCACAACAAACACTCTGTGAGGTGAGTGAGGCTGAGAGACTTCGGAGAAGTGTGACTGGCCCAAGGTCACCCTGCAGCTGCATGTGGAGGAGCGGGGAAGTGAACCCGGTTCACTAGATTACGAGTCCACCACTCCTAACCACTACACCACACTGGCTCAAGCTGAAACTTGACAAGTTGAAGCTCAGTCCAGAAAAGTCAGAGATGGCTTAGCAATTGTATGTACCATCTGTTCTGAATTGTGTCAGGGGTATTTGGGGGATATTCTTGGATTTGCTTTTTCCACATTTGGCTGCACCTTCTCTTGGGAGATGGGGACCTTGCCGCAGTCATGTGTGCCTGGACATCCTCAATATGGGACTGTTGTAATGCACTTGACATTGATAACCCTTGATTAACTATTCAGAAGCTTGAGTTGGTCCTTAATGCAGCAGCATGATTACTTGCAAATTACAAAGGGATGGAAAATAAAACTGCAAAAATCATAATGCTGTTATACGATCTATGCCGCAATTGTGTATAATATTTTCTAAAAAAACCCCACCAAACCACACACACAAGGTGCCTCCACAGCTATCTATGCACATGCCCTGTCTGTACTTAATTGGCATAATAGAAGCAGCACATTAGAAAGCAGGACAAACACAAAAGAGAACGCCTGCTGGTATGAATGGGCAAGATCAAAGTTGTTCCTCATTTATAAATTCAAATACATCTGTGGACTACTCTGGTCTAATTTGAATGGGAGAAATGCAGACAAACAGCCAAATGCTCAAGTGTGGACAAGCCCTAAGTGCAGAGACAAGCCCTGGGGCAGAGATGAGGAGTTCCTCTGTTCTCCTTCCTAACCTCTGAATAAGACCCCCAACATTAATTATTTCCAGGCGCATGAGCACTCCCACAAGTCATCCCAGTGTTACAGATTTGGTGTTAATCGTACCGTTTGACAACAGAAGCATCTATTCAGTGTCAAGAGCCCAGAGGCATGACTTTTTCAGTTCAAAGGTTTTGTATTGGTCATTGCACCTGCTGGGGCACTTGATATACACCCAGTTGAGACGTGAGAGTAACTTGCAGAAGCGAGACTGCTTTAACAGATGTGGCGTAGGCTACGTTGAGTAAACCTGTCATTCTCCTCGTTTCAGTGAGATGGTTATAGAACTTGGCATACTATGCTGCAACGACCTGCTGTAAACAAAAATAACAATTAATATTGAAGACCTTCTTCACGTTCCAGCAACCTTCAGTAGTGTTTCACTATGCGCATGGCCTAATTGGCTAATGTCCAATCTAGCCAGTAGTCACAGCAAGATCAATCTAAACAATGGATAGCAGACAACATGCACCCACCATCATAATCTGAGGGACTGTTCTGGTCTCTGTGAACTTCCTCCTGTTAATAACATTGTTAACTGTAACATTTTTGTTCAGATAGGGTGAGAATGCTGCACCAAAGCTGTTGTGGAAATCTTTCCAGTGCAGTGTTTTCTGCCTGTTACATTTTCTTCCAAGGTTCACGTCTTACCCACTAAATAACTGCATTCATGAAAAGACCGGTAGTTGGACAGCGAGGCTCAGGGAGAGAATGCATCAGCAGCTTTCCCCCCTCATGTCTTAGATTCAGACTGCTCCCAACAAATCTTCTTACTGCAGGATTCCTACATTGAACTGTACAGCAAATCCCACACTAGGAAGAAAACATTGTTCCTCACTTTGAGTAGGTTAATTGAAATGGCAAGCGAAATGTTGTTTCGGGCATTGAAATGACCTCCTTCAACCCCCTCAGCAGTTTAGAGTTGCCAGGATAAAATTGTAGTGGATTTTCAATTTCAGCTCCTGCCAATGGGGGAACAAATGGTCTGGACTCCCCCCACCCCACCCCCTACAAGTTGTCAGGGTTAGACAGGATTATTACTGGCAGGGTATCTGGAACTGCAGAGTTCCTTTGTTCCTCCTTCTATTGCGTTCCTCAAATGGAAAAACTGACATAGATTGGCTTAGTTAATTCACAGTGTAGTTTGTTAGAGTGCCAGACTGGGACAGAGGAAAATTTCAGGTCCAAAAACTGCATCTATTGCAGAATGCTGCTGCTGGAGTATTCGCAGGCACTTTGTGGAGGAGCCATCTTACACTTACCTTGTGGGATGTGCCGTGGCTGCCTATATGTTAACTGGCCCAATTCAAGGTGCTACCTTGATATTTAAAGCGCTGGACAACTTGGGACCTGGCTATTTAATGCAGCAGCCTCTCCCCATACCAGCCATCACTGAAATTGATCAAGGGGACCTCGCTTGAAGTCTCACTGGCCTCTTTTGCTCATTGTCTTGGAATGTGAGACAGGGCCTTCTTGGTGATTGCTCCCCAACTCTAAAATTCATTTCCCTTAGAAGAGCAGGCAGCAATGTTGGCCAATCTTCATCTAGTTCCATTCTTCCGCTTTGGCTTACGGAGCATATAACGGATCATAAACAAACAATAAAAGTAATTTGGACAAAAAGATGCACGTTAAGGCAAAGTTCTGTGAGCAGGTCTTCTGTTCAAATTTCTGCTCTGGGTGGCTATTTCTGTTTAGGACATCTTATACTGAGGGAATACCATCAATGATACCTGGTAATATTTAATAATTCTGGTCTTTCTAGAAATTTGCAGTCTTAGGACTGAACCTTTTGTTAAGTCTAAATAGCCCATACCTCTCTTCTAGGAGTGAATGAATGTGCACTCAACAATGGCGGCTGCTCCCACATATGCAGAGATTTGAAGATTGGCTATGAGTGTGAGTGTCCTCCTGGATACAAGCTTCTCGACAAGAAAACATGTGGAGGTAATTTGCATAGAAGCAGCAGCTCTTTGTGTTTCTCTGTACAGCAGCACATAATTATAGTCGCTCCAGGCTCACTCCACATCCTGATGGGCTTAATTACAAGTTACTGATGATTTTTAAACTTCCCTTCCAGACATAGATGAATGTGAGAATCCCGACGCTTGTAGCCAGATCTGCATCAACTACAAGGGAGACTATAAATGTGAATGCTATGAGGGTTACGAGATGGACACTCTGTCCAAAAACTGCAAAGCTGTAGGTAAGGAAATGCTCTAATCCATTCTGCATGATCCATAGAAAGCCAGGTGCAGGCTTGAGGACCCACAAGTAGAATTGACAAGTAACTCTGTTGAGATGATTGCTCAAAAGTCAAACATGATAGATGGCTCAGTTTGCAAAGTGGAAGGAAAGTGCTTGTTCTAGAATCTAGAAGATGCAAACAGCTCCGTTTGGACTAATTCACATGCTGCATTTCTGCAGAAACAGGCAGGAACTGCTGTTCCATGTACTTGCAAAGGAAAACCTAATGAATGAATTGTTACTTGCGGAATTCTAAAATGAATTCTTACAACGTTTAGTTTTCTTTGCAAGGTATATAGAATTTGTTTTCATCAAGCTACCCTCTTGCTTTCACATTATCTGTGAGGTGGTCGTCAACATATGCTGTTATAGAATCTGTACTGCTTCCTAAATGCCTTGATTCCATCTTAGATTCATTCTCTAGACCTGCCCCTTTGATTAAGCTGTGGAGGTGTGCATGTGTGTGTGTGCATATATATCTCTAATCTAGACAGGGGGGAAGTCTCCCTATTATTTCTTCAGTAACTAGATATAATAATGGTTGTTTGAAGCATTTTCTTTCTAAATTTTTAATGATAGAAAAATCTAATTGTGGAACATTGTCTGCATTAGGACTACATGATAAACCATATAATATCATGATGGAAGTTAGCCTAGCTCCCACCTCCAGGTCATGCACTCCTCTCATTTTCTTCCAGCACAGCTGCAAGGATGAGTTTGGAAGCTTTGCCTTCCATTTTCAATTGCCCAGCCAATATTTCATGAAACTTGCCCTTGATTTTATTTTTTAATAGAGAGATTTCACTGCAGGGGAGATTCCTGTGTTGCTCTTAATGCAATGTTCCCAATCCTCCCAGTGTTCAGGTGTGTGAGTGACTCTTCCATCTGTCAAGTTGAGAGAAATAATGTGTGAGTTGCTATAGCAAATGTGACTTGCTAGTGCTGGTAAGAACAGCAGCCACTACTGATCCTTCCTGTTGTTCTAGCCAGTTTCAAATACTCCCAAAGCTTCTATTTTCCTTCCAGCTTAGACATGCTCTTATGACAAAGCAACAGAAGTGAGATCTAACTCTGCACCAGAGAGCTATGCTATTTTGTAAGCTGCTTAAAAAAATAAAATAAAGTAACTTCCGGAGTTCTGTTCCATGCAGGGAAGAGCCCGTATTTGGTTTTCACAAATCGCCATGAAGTACGCAAGATAGACTTGGTGAAAAGGGACTACTCTCGCATCATCCCCATGCTGAAGAACGTGGTTGCTTTGGATGTGGAGGTGGCAACAAACAGGATATACTGGTGTGATTTATTCTACAGGAAAATATACAGGTGCGGGGCTCTCATTTGGCTACCCAAACGGCCACATCTTATGTCAACTTAATTGCAAGGTCTTACAGAACTCAGATTTTCCCCCCTCTTCATTGTGGCATCAGAAATGTGCCTGTTGAAAGTGTGCATCTGTGTGCCTTTGGGGTGCAACGCCCAGATGCATGTGCTGAGACTGTGTCTAATTACACAGTGAAACAGCATTTGCTTGATGCAACAAAGCTGACCATCTCTCTTAGGCACTCAGATCTGAATTACTATTGCCCCCTGCTGCACCATCTGTAGTTCCTCGTGCTTGTTTCCAGCTAATAATCAGAGGCAGGTTCACTGTGACCTGCAGACTAGGAAAGGTGATTTCAAAGATCAGCAAGCCAACTCTGGGAGAAGAGGAAGCTTTTCTAAGATATGGCCAGTTAATAACACTGAAATAGCTGGCTGGGGATTCAAAGAGAGTGATGGAGCCTACAAAAAAGAAAGAGCCAGCAGAAATGTGGTAGAAGGGAGACTTGCTCTATAAACTGTGAACCTTGCAAAATGTATAGTAAAGGACAAAGCTGGGATCTGCCCTTTAAAACCTGGATAATTATTTAACATTGCACTTCTCCTATACCCTACTGGCAGCAAATATCTTTCAGGCTTCTTTTATTGCCAAGGGTTTATTCTCCTCGTTACCAGCAACTGCAACAGTTTTGCCCTGAGCTTTATAGCTATACTTGGTTATGGTTATTGCTGTTGTTTTTCCATCGGTGCCCGTTTGAAGCCCCTGGCATGGGCAGCTGACTTTTGTTGCCTTCAACAAATAAGCTACACTTCCATTTTTCTGCATAGGGATGGGAGAGGAGAGGTGATTGTCATGCCCTAAGTTCTGCTTTTGCAGAAACCAGCAGCGGTATATTGTTATTGCTGCCTGCTTCTCCTTCAACAGGAAGGGAGATAAAGCGCCCCTCTTCCCCCCACTCTCCATGGAGAAAAGAAGGGTCCGGCTTCCCCTTCCCATTGGAATTCTGCAGGGGGCAGAAGCAGCAAGGCACTAGAGAAAATGGGTAGAGAAGGGTTATTCTCCCTGTCTTATAACACTAGAATTCATAGATACCCAGTGAAGAGGAATGTTGGAAGATTCGGGACAGATAAAAGAAAGTACTTCTTCACCCACCAATTGGGATGGCCATCAATTGGATGACTTTAAATGAGGATAAGACGAATTCATGGAGGATAAGTTATCGATGTCTATTAGCCATGATAACTATGCTCTGTCTCCATGGACAACGACAGTAATGCTTCTGAATGCCAGTTGCTGGAAACTGCAGGAGGGGTGAGCGCTCTTTTGCTCAGATCCTCTTTTCAGGTTTCCCACAGGGCTCTGGTTGGCTACTGTGAGAACAGGATGCTGGACCAGGTGTGCCAGATCTAGGTGGGCCTGATATAGACATAAGCTCCAGGAAAATACAACAGGGTGAAAGCCACCTCACCTTTCTTCCTTGTTCTCTGTGGAGGAAAGACAAGAGAGTTTTGTTTCCACAAAAAGAAAAAAAACAACCTAGCTGTGCCTTTCTGCCTCCTGAAAAAAAATTGGGGGAGGTCAGAAATAAATGACCACTTCTTTTCTGCATGGGGTGTAGGGTATATAGAAGATGTGAATGTGTCTCTCCCCTCCATCCCCATTTGTTTTCTGCAAGAGAACAGTGAGGCATGGCTGGCAATTTATGAAAATTCACAATTCAGAGCCAAACTACCTTTCCTTCTTCTTAAGAAGGAAAAAGAAAAGTGCTATTTCCCCCTGCAAGTTGGGGTTTGGGGAAAAGCACCAGAAACAGCATCTGCTTCTGTCCTGCTGCTAAACAGTCTTTCCCTACCAAACCATTTCTCAAGAATGGAAGAGCTGGCCGGTAGGAACAACTGTGCATGTTGAGAGCTGCCCCTATCCAGGAACATGCAAATGTGCATAATATGTTTATTTGATGAATAAGCTTTCCTTTCTTTTAGTATGGCTTTTCTCATTGTAGAATGTCAAACTGGGCTGTATTGTGGGTGCAGAATTATCCTATCATGATCCTAATGGTGAAGTTTCGTGCCTTGTTTACAACTCTTTTCCTTTCCTTCTGCATAAAGGTGGCCTTTCCTCCACCTCCCTAAATAAATACAGTGGTAATTTTAGTCTCCTCTCCGCAGTGCCTACATAGACAAAGCCAGCGACACAGCTGAGCAAATGGTCCTAATTGATAGCCACTTGAACTCTCCTGAAGGCCTGGCAATGGATTGGGTTCACAAGAACATCTACTGGACAGATTCAGGAAACAAGACCATTTCTGTCGCCACAGCTGATGGGAGTAAGAGGAGGACACTTTTCAGTACTAACTTAAGTGAGCCCAGAGCCATTGTGGTGGATCCAACACGGGGGTAAGGTGTAAAAGAGGGAACACTCATGTCATATATTGCTGAACATATTCCCTGCTTTGCCTTGGTCCTTCTAGCTTGCCAGACCGTAGAATGCAGTGCAATCAGAGTTTATTGTCTAGGGCGCTTTGCTAAAATAATCAGTGCATTACAGCATACAGAAGTCTGATTGCTAGGCGGAATGATTTTAAAATGACAGCATCAGCAGGACTGATTCATATGTTTCTTCATGATTAACCAAGGGATTGGAGTTTGTGGAGTGTTAGGAACATTAGAGGGTGTGGGATCCTTCCTCAGAACAGGAAATTGGATCAGATGTCCTTTTGTATTCTTCCCATCTTTATAGTTCTTTTTAGAACCCAGATTGGCCCATTCAATCTGGTTCTGTTTTATGAATTCATCAACTCTATCTCCCAATTCTGCTGAAGTGATATGAAGAATGCTGCAAATGGCTTTCTTCCTCAGTGCATTTATGCCAAATCAGTCTTTATAGTCAGAGGCTGATCACACAGCTGCATCGCTAGATATTTGTGTTAGGCAGCCATTGGTTGACTTGCTGCTTCGTGGTTAACCTAGAGTTCATGAGAACTACTACATGAATGTAGGACTGTTCTCGGCCAAATTAATCCTCCTTACAGAACCCAATCATCTGAAATAGTTTAAGTTTTCAGAAGCAGTCTGCAGCAACCCAAAAGTAGCACCACATTTTTTAAAGGCAACTCAGTTCAGTAATTGTGTGAGCTTTGTCATAGCACGTGGCCTTCTCTCATCTACTTTCTCTGCCCTTCTCCGATAGATTCATGTATTGGTCTGACTGGGGTGACATAGCAAAAATTGAGAAGTCTGGCTTGAACGGCGTAGATCGGCAAGTGCTTGTGATGGACAACATTGAATGGCCCAATGGCATCACACTAGGTAAGGCTACAATCCTAAACCCATTTGCCTGGGACGAAACCCTGTTGAATTTCAACAGGACTTACTTCTGAGTAGACATGATTAGGATTTTTCTGTAAGGTGCATAAATGGGACCAGATCATTGTAAATTACCAATGTTCCTGGAAATAGGAGCATAGGAAGCTGTCGCATACCCAGCCAGACCATTGGCCAAGCAAACTCAGTGTTGTCTACAGTGACTTCGCATTGGATTTCAGATAGTCTTTCTGAGGCCCACCTAGAGATGCCAAAGATTGAACCAGGGATCTTCCTTTTGCATTCAGAATAAATGCTCTACCACTGAGCAACAGCCCTTCTCACAGACTCCTAATATCTGTAGTTTTTAAAGCTAACTAAGCAAGGGGGGGGATAACTGTATTAGTCTCAGGTGGGTTTTTTCACCACTCACTTATATATATATGGACAGCCCATTCAATCTAATCAAAAGGTTTGCTGACACAGCTCCTCCTGAATTTCTCCTGTTGATTCAGCAATTTCTGCTCCCTTCGAAGCCTCCTTCAAAACCTTTCTATAAGGCCAAATTAGACAATACATGTTTTCAAAAAACTGAGAAGCGTCATCAAATTCTGTACTTGGGAGCAGAAAAGGGTAGGTGGGAGGAAGCGGCTAACTGGTCTTCCTTCCTGCTATTTTTCCACTCAGAATCACCGCTCACCTGTTTCTCCACTTACAGAGGAATTGATACAACCCTCTCCTCCCATTTTTCTCCCTATGCAAAAGGGGGGGGGAATACTTGAGGAAGCGGAGGTGGGTCTCAAGCAAACAAATAGCAGGAAGGAAAAGTTCTTTGCTGCCATTCGCCCTTTCCCCTGCTGAAATTAGCATCCTCTCACAGCTGCTCTACAGTTTTTTTAAAAAAAGAAGAAAAGGCAGGAGACTACCCCCCGCCAAGTATTGTCTAGTTTGGCCCTTACCTGAATTGCATAGGAGATGTTTTTGGAACAAGATTAGCAAGTAAGTTGGTAAGCCATTTAGCCAAATGAACCATATAGGTAGTTAATGTCGTAGACTAAAAATAAGATATGATTAAAAAATGCCAACTGTTGATGTTAATGAGAGTTCAGATAATATGTCTATGATTTTATTCAGATTCTCTGTTTGGATCCTCCCCCACAATCCAAAAGTGCAGAGAAAAGTCAGCCCAGAAAGTGAGGACAGTATGGCAAAGGGTTGCCTCATTCCAACATTGTTCCTGTAGTTATTTGGCTTCTATGCAGGCCTGACTCTTCCTTGTATGAAGCATAAATGAACAGAGAATTAATCTGGGTCCAGACACCACCACTCTATGATGGGGGGGGGATGACCTGTGGGTCTGTGGATCTCTAAATGTGACCCACAAGGCCGTTTGGGGCAAACCATGCTCACTTAGCCTACCTCCACACTGGACATCATATGATAAGGGATCTCCATCTCAGTGCTATGCATCACATTGCTAATAAGCCTCTGCTTGCTCTCTGATGGTAAATGGGCAGCAGCAGAGATTTATTTCTGATCTTAGTGCTCTGCTCCCGCAGTGCTAAGATCAGAGAGATGTTAGTCTCTGCCTGGTGCATTTGAAAGAGCAAGCAGAGGCTTCTGTCTCTGATCTTAGTATTGAGGGACTACAGCACTAAGCCTGGAGTTAAGCCTGTTCCTGTTTCAGCTTGAACTTTCAATCACCTGATGTCAGGTGACTGGCTGGTGGGTGGCCCCACACACCTGTCAGAAATGTCGCATGCAGGATGAGCCAGTTCTGGGTCCATTTCTCAGACGTTGAAAAAGGTTCCCCCCCTACGGTGCGTGGTAGTCGAATACACTGAGATTATTAAGAAATTCCACCTGTAGCACATGAACTCACTTTCAGGTTCTGTCCTCAATTCGTTATTTGCAGAAATGGCTTATTTACGGTTTCCCAAAATTCTGAAGCAGTAACAGTAGTAAGTGTCAAACAGGCAAATGTACCTAGATATAATTCTGCCTTGATGTGTTTGCTCTTCAGATTTGTTAAATCAGCGCCTCTACTGGGTAGACTCCAAGTTGCACTTGCTTTCAAGCGTAGATTTCAATGGCAGCAACAGGAAAGTTCTCATCTCTTCTGTGGATGACCTCAGCCATCCGTTTGGATTAGCAGTCTTTGAGGTATGAGATGTGGAGTGGAGACCAACACTAGCCAGTCAGTTATCTAAGTCAAGGTAGCAATGAGAGGCACTATGAGCATATGGCTCAACAATGGTTGAACATGAGATGAGGTACAAGCCATATTTCCCATTCAAGAAGTACAGGGATGTGTGTGTTGTGTTTGTGGGTGAGAGTAGCACCAAAGAAAGGAATGAGTCAACATCAGAATTAAAGAAAAAAAGGAGGAGACCTTAGCATTGATTTGCAACAATGAGAAGAGACTAGGACTGAAGTTCAAGGGTGTCCCTGCAGAAGACCTCAGTTTGAAATGAATTGGGCTCAGTAATAGTTATGTAATAAGAGGTCACATCTTTCTTTTTTCCTTTCTCGCATCAGAACTGGTCAAAAGTTGTGGCTGAAACTTTTTCTCACTCTGGTAGGGATGGAAAATGCTAAACAAAACACACACACACACACACACACAGATAGAATGGATTCATTACTGTTTAATTAGGGCCATATTTAGTTAGTTAAGAATTTCTATGCTGCCCTACAAAGCACAGACAAGGCAGCTCACATAAAGATAAACATGAAGCCACAGTCTAATTAAGTGAATTTAAGAGTGTGGCTTCCTCAGATTCTATAACTTACACTGAGTGCAGCACTCAGGGTTACTGCTTCCTTCTCCAAAATGTAGAGTTTCTGGCCAGGATTCACCTAACTAGTCCTGTTAGCATAAGCCCTGCAGAAGGACTTTCCTCTGTGTGGCCTCCCGCCCCAACAATTAGCTTGGGGCAGTGCTGGATTACCAGATAGGCACAGTAGGCACTGGTCTATGGGCTCCACACCTTTTAACAACAGATCAAAATAATATTGTGTAACAATATTGATTTATTAAAATGGTTGGTTGGTGAAATCAAAAACGTATTAAGAAATAATTTGTGAGCCCCCTCCCCCCCCCCGCCAAGATTTTGACTGCTTAGGGGCCTCTATATGGTTTAATCCAGCACCGGCTTGGGGGTGTGTGGGAAAGAACCCCCAGAACAGCATGTGGGAGAGGAGAGGGGGGATTGTTCCATCTGGCAAACTGAATTGTGTGGCATTGAATTCCACCCTCAGTTGCCACAATGTGCAGGTCTCTGAATTAAACCTAAATATATTATTATCAATTGTATTGGCAGCCAGAGAAGCCAAGGGATTTGATAACAAAAGTATTATGCCAATATCACCAGTCATGTTAGAAAAAACGACAACCCCTAAATCCTAACTCCCCCAAGTTTCCATTTTCACTTCTCCCATTCAGCTTTACCATGTAATTTTACCATTTCACTGCTATCTTCACCGTTCTACAATGAAATGCAGCTCCTTATTGAATGGTAGGCTTTCATATCTTCTCTGTTCTGTTATCTCATCTCCTCAACATGTAGGAGTTGCCACTAAGTGTGTGTCACTGTCGAATAGCGAGGCAAAGTTGTTTTTCTTCCTCTTGAATCGTATATCTCTACAGCCTATCTCAAGCCACAGAGTTCTCCTTTAAGAAATTGGCAGGCCACACGTTTGGACAGAGAAAGAAGATTAGCCTGGGATGCCATTTTTGCTGGGATGCCAGGGATCACTCCACTTTCTAATAAATCCCCTGAAATCCTATTCATGAACCATTCTGACCACAAGTCAGAGAAATGCAGCTCAGAGCACAAGCTGGACTGCTGATAAGTAGGCCAGGCACGTCTGCATAACTGTTAGGGTTATGTCAGAGGAAGTATCATCATAACCTGATTATACAGACATCACCTTCTTTGCTTTTTTGCAGAATATAATATGGGAGGGGGGATTTGTCTCTGAAAGTGACAAATCCCCCCTCCCATAGTAAAGTAAAATTTTCCTTTCACAAAGAAAGCAGGGAAGTTACCTTCTTCACACCTTTCACTTCTTCACAATCTAATTCTGGGCACTGATTGCTAATCAGCCTGAATTTTCCAGCACTTGGTATTGCTGTATTGTTTATAGATTGCCTACCATTACCAGGAACAGTGCAAAAATCAAAACAAACCCTGGCTGGAGGCTTCCAGCCTATCCCCTTAGTGGACTTCCATCTGCTTGTGATTTTGTGCATCAGGAATTACAAGGATAAATTGGATGTGCATCTTAAATTGCGAGTAGTGTCTCTCAGCACTGTGTTGCTTTGATAAGATGCGCATCTGAAGGTAAATGGAGATGTATGTCCAAATGTTCATCCCAGTGGGGAAAAGGCAGTGCAAATAAGGAGCAGCCACACTTGGATGCACCTCCAATTTGTGTCAGATCCAGCAAGTAATACGTGCGATAAGAGAGCCTTCCTCCATGAATCTCATTTGTTGGATTGGGGTAAGGAAGGTGTGGCTAGAGAGAAAGAGTGAAAAGGAGAAGAATGTTGTCCTCTTTGTCCTGTTACTCTTCTCCATTGAAACAGAAATATAAATGTGTGTATTGTCACTGTTGTTTGCTGTTATATAGGCAGGTCCCCCACAACTGTATAATAAAAAGTTAATACGATATGCATAACACATACATAACCAATAATATTTTCCAAGAGCCCCTGTAGAATTTTCAAAGCCCAAATGTCAAGCTAAAGTCACTGCTCCATGGGACAGAAGCTCTTTCCTTTTAAAGAAGAAGGTGGCCACCCTAGGCAGCAAGATGAAGGGACCTACTTCAAGTGGCAACATAAAGAGGGAGGAATGGAGGTGGGAACTGGTGTGTGAACAGTCCCATTTTTAAACTCTAGCCAGTAGTGGAAGGCGAATGTCATTTGGACACTGTTTAAAATGCCTTATGTTAATTCTGCAGTGAAGGACCCAGTCATTTAAATCGCATGATGGTTAAGTCTATGGGCCTAAAATGTATTGGGCACCATCCATTTCAATGGGCTGTATGGCATCTTACAACAGGGGTGGTTGTAAGGTAGATTAGGATCTACTGGTAGAGATCCCTGAGATCTGCAGTACGTTAGCAAAAATTTCTGACTCCCAATTTTTTAACGGTAGCAGCAATGAAATGACTCCCTCCCCAAATGATACTGCTGAGATGATGAAATAAGGGTGTAAGCAGAAGTAGATTTTTTTTATCTAAAAGGAGCATTGGTGCAGTTCCATGTTGCACACAGACCATCATTCCATTGGCACAGTTATTCTGCTGGCCAGACAGAATAACCTACCTGCCTCCCCATGTGCTATCCTGAGGGTTCTGCTAACCTTCCAGAGCAGATTTGGGGAGAAGCATAAGGAGCATGTCGTGGGAGGGGGAAGCCCTGTTGCACTAGCAGGGGTCCTTGTGCTGGCTTCCACTTGTACACCAGATTAGTGAAAACTGGCCCTATGAGCTCAGTTCTGGTGCTCAGAACAACTCTCTCTGCTCAGCAGCTGTTCAGAGGCAACATGTTCTTTACATGTTTTTCATACTTGGCTCCAGCTGTTGGATCTTGAGGTTCTGCTAAAACACAATGTAGATCTGGCAAGCCTGAAGTGTGCCTCCCCTGCCTCACAATACTCAGAAAAGACCTCATTTCTTTTTATTTAGAAAGTATTGTGTATGAGTTGGTTGTTAAAAATGCTAAAGTTATTGATGCGCTCTCAAAAGGCTCCTGTGATCTCTCTTCTTGCAGGATAGGGTATTCTGGACTGATCTGGAGAATGAAGCAATCTTCAGTGCCAATAGGCTGAATGGTCTGGACATCTCCATTTTAGCAGAGAACCTCAATAACCCTCATGATATTGTAGTCTTTCATGAGCTAAAGCAACCTAAAGGTAAGGCCATTGGTCTTTGAAGCTTAAACAGTCCCGAGTGCTTATGTAGCTGTCTCTGGTTCACTGAATGGGGATAATTAGTAAATCCAGTCATTGAATCAGTACAGGGAAAAATAGTCTTCTCCAACCAGGTGCCCTTCAGATATTATGGGATACAACTCCCATTAGCCCCTGCCAGCATGGCCAAAGATTAGAGATGATGAGAGCTGTCATCCAACATCTGGAGGATAACAAGTTTGAGGAAGACTGGGGTATGAGGACCATTCAGTTCTGAAGTACTAATAGTCTTTATTTATGACAGTCATTACAATTTTTTAAATACCAAATTTAAAATACATTTGAAGATTAAAAATATATATATCATCAAAAAGTGTTCATAAAAGGGGCACATCCTATCCTTCTCAACTAAAAGGTGAACACCAATTACAGTAAGAGCAAGATGTGTAGGTGAATAGGAACATCTTCACCTGGTGCCTAAAGACTGATAGTGATGGCACTAGACACATATCTCTGGTGACCTTGTGTTGGAGGAGGCACATGAAGAAAGACCTCAGATGATGAACACCAAGTCTGAATTGGATCTTGTGGGGGAAATGTTGGTCCCTACAGTATTCGGGTCCTGAGCCGCATAAGGCTTTATAGGTCAAAACCAGAACTTTGAATTGAGCCTGGAAATTAATTGGCAGCCAATGCTCTTGGGTCAGGATAAGTGTTGTATGATAAAACTTCCTACTTCCAATTAACAATCTGGCTGCTCAGTTCTGCACCAGCTGCAGTTTTCAAACCATATTCAAAGATAGCACCACATACAATGCATTGCAGCAATCTAACCTACAGGTTACCAGAACACAGACATGGAGGCCAAACCCAGAACTAAATTTCAATTGAATTGAATCTAGAAAATCCATCTCATCCAAGAGAGCTTTTAGAAGCAGTCTTTAGAAGCAGTGTAACTAGTTATGGATTAAAGAAACAATAATCTTCTACTACCTTGATATTAGGAGGGCTGCAGGATCTTGTTAGAGGCCTCACGCCTCCTTCCCAAAGTCCGGGAAACTTCTGTCTGGCTTAGGGAAGAAGGTGCAATGCTCTGGCAGATTCTGAGAGCCCTCCCTTGCGTGGTGAGTTCCAGCACCATTTTTTCTAGGAAAAAAAAAAGCACTGACAAGAATGTTTAATTGACCTTTTTCATTTTCTCTTCCCACATTTAGCTCCAGATGCTTGTGAGCTCAGTTCTCTGCCAAATGGAGGTTGTGAATACCTATGTCTTCCTGCACCCCAAATCTCTTCACATTCTCCCAAGTATACCTGTGTTTGTCCTGATAATATGTGGTTGGGTCCCGACATGAAAAAGTGCTATAAAGGTAAAAAGCATTAGCCTTTACTCTGTGAACCTTCCCGCACACTGTTTAGGGCAAATCCACTTCTGCTTTTCAGAACTCTGTGAATAAACATGTTATGTTCATTGTTTTTATTCTACACTTTTCATGGCATTATATACACTTTTTGGTTTTCCCCTCAGTCGTTTCCGTTCAGATGTAGGATGAGTTGATAGCTGACATTTTTTCCTCTCTGTTCTCCAACTCCGCTATATCCCTAGAGACACTGAACTTCATTCATCAGTGAACTAGGATGGGTGGAGACAATTATGATTGGAGAGGGTTCATGTTGTATGTCCTTTATCCCCAGCTGTAGAATTGGAAGGTGGGAGGGTGGCTTCTCTTATTGTGAAAGATCTTGGAAATAGTTCAGTAAAACAACAAATCCTTAAATACAGTGGTGCCTCGCAAGACGAAATTAATTCGTTCCGCAAGTTTTTTCTTCTTGCGAGTTTTTTGTCTTGCGAAGCACAGTTTCCCATAGGAATGCATTGAAAATCAATCAATGCGTTCCTATGGAAACCGAATTCAGACCAGGTCCGGGGACAGTCTGTCCCCCGACCTCTTCTGAAGGCTGGGGGGGCGGGACAAGGACTTTTCTTCCCACCCCCAGCATTTTAAAAAACCCCGGGACAGCGGAGACTTCTCCGCTGTCCCGGGGCGATTTAAAAGCCCCCGGGAAGGCAGGCAGGGGGGAGCAAATACTTTTGCCCCCCGCTGGCCTTTAGAAGAGGTCCTGGACCTCTTCTGAAGGCCGGCGGGGGGCGAAAGTCTTTGCTCCCCCCCCGCCTGCCTTCAAAAGCCGTCCGGGATAGCGGAGAAACGAAGGCTGGCGGCGGGAGGAGGTCTCTCCGCCCCGCCGCCAGCCTTCGGAGGAGGTCCGAGGACAGTGGGGAAGATGCACTGCGCTTCCCCACTGTCCCGGAGATTTCCCTATGGGCTTTCGTCTTGCGAAGGAAGCCCATAGGGAAATTTGTTTTGCGAAGCGCCTCCAAAACGGAAAACCCTTTCGTCTAGCGGGTTTTCCGTCTTGCGAGGCGTTCGTCTTGCGGGGCACCACTGTAAGTGAATTAGATTTCTTGGGCAAGATTGCATGCAGTATTCTAAGCCAGGAGTACTTGAGTGCCTTCTCTTTAACTAGGTTTCCAATTAGCTTCTATGTGAAATAATTCCCTGCCTTCTGGAGAAAATGAAGCTGTTCTGTGTAGCTGTTGAGGTGACTGTATATCGCTTATGTTTTCAGAGCTTCCAACTACCTCAACTAATGTGCCTACTACTCCTGCTACTACTGTTGCTACTGCTACAACTCACTTGTCCAATTTTACTGCCATCACTACGGTTGTTATGACTACTACTACTACTACCACCACCATTACAACTGGCAATAACAGTAACGATAGTACAGAAGGCCAAGAGACCACATCGCGCATCTTCCTGGGCACTACAAGCCTACATTCACCCACAACCACATCCAGTCTGGCAGACTCTAAGATAACAACAACAGGAAACAGCAACCTCTCCCAACACTGTAAGCAAAGTGGCTTTGAACCGTTCTTCATTCTGATTCTCCAAGGCTCATAACTTGGACAGTTAGGCTAGTAATGTTGCAGTTTGGTTGAAGTAGTTAGCATTGCACATCTCCCTGCAGAAGTAAAATTGGGAATCCTTTGTCTATTCCCACCCACTTTATTGAATAAAATTCCTATCAGTTTAATATAAACTCTCATCACCACAGTAAAGAATCTAGTTTCAAGAGTTTTTTCAAGAACCTTGTTTTCCTGTGGGTACCATAGTCTGTTCTATGGTAATAGGAGCAATTTTTTAATTAATTAATTTAAATGGAAGATCTGCCTCAGGAGTGAAGAACCTGTGGTCCTCCAGATGTTAATACATACCTGATTTGTTTCCATAGCAAAACTCAGAGTGAATACTGAAATTCGTTCCCAACTTCTTTTTTACCTCAGGCTGCAAGCCAAACCAATGAGGCCATGTGCCTATTAAAACATTGGTGGGTGTGGTAGTACTTATTAGCAACATTATTTCCTTATTAGCAAGCTAATGTCTCTTGTTAATAGCCTTGTGTGCCATCAGGATTCTCTTCAGATAACAATTGGCCTTTTAAGTTCTTTCTTACAAAAAAATAAGAGGCACCAGAGGTTCCTTACTTGGCACTTAGTGATATTTTAAGTGTGAACAAATGCTTTTGGAACCAGTGGTTTACAGTCTTCACAGTTTTGTGAGAGCCTGTCACACTGAAAGTAGAAACTCCAATGTACAATATGGAAAAAAAGCCAGTTTTGAACCAAGCCAATGAGCCCCAAGAAATCACCACACATGAATTGCTCTTCCTTGCAGGCCCTGGAAAACATCAGCAGATGGTGGTGTGTCTGAATCCAAAGTCTCCATTTGCATAAAGAAGCAAATGCCTGGCAGATATTAGGTGTTCCTTGTTTCTCAGCTCTGAGATGGAGCTCCCATTTGCCTTTCCCATTGTATTTTCAAAGCTAGTTCACATGCATGAATGGCTTCAAGAGTTATCTGCATCCATTCTTGTGTGAAAACACACAACGGTCTGTTACCCTGCGACTTCCAAACACACATGGCAAAGTAAATTTTCATACAATTTTCTGCCTTTTCACTTATTCCACTAGTGCACACCATGCAGACACAAAGGCCTCTAAGCAGACAGGCTAATGAATCACTGAATCAGCGTGGCGGTTACAGGGGCCTGCCTATGCCTAGTGAGATCTATTAAATTGGCTATACCTGCAAAGTCTGGTGGCATCTCCACCTGCTCCCTCATTGGAGTAGAATCTAGCTCAGGTGGGCCTAAATATTCTCTAAAACCCTCAATTTATATCCATAAATTAATCCACAGAATTCATCCCCCCACCAACTTGGTGTGCCTTTTTCTAGCTTTGAAACTTGCTGCGCTACATAGAGGATTATGGCTACAGCAGTGATTTCTCTGTACTTTAACAGCAACATAATTCTGTTTCTAGAAAAGCTGGGTTCTGTATATTCTGGTGCATTTGCTGGTGGTGTCCATGAATTGTTGTTTGATTGAATCTTCTCTGGTTGCAGATGCCAACAGTGGGCAAGGTTTTGGATCAACTGTGATGGCTGCCATTATTGGAATTGTGGTTCCTGTTGGTAAGCATGTTTTTACTATATTTAAAGAGTGAGTTTTCCTGTTCACTTCCATTTTGTGGACCTGAACTGGCATTATTATTATTATTATTATTATTATTATTATTATTATTAATACCCCACCCTTCCCAGCCAAGACCAGGCTCAGGGCGGCTAACAACCGATATAAAGAATTAAGAATGGAAACACCCATGTAGAACCAATTTGAGAACTATAGTCTCCCTTGTGGCAACCATATATGCTTATTCCCTTCTCTCTTTTACCCCCCTAGTGGTGATTGGTTTGTTGTGCATGGGAGGGTATCTCATCTGGAGGAACTGGAAACGGAAAAACACGAAAAGCATGAACTTTGATAATCCTGTGTACAGGAAAACTACAGAAGAGGAAGATGAAGATGAAATCCATATTGGGAGAACAGCACAGATTGGGCATGTGTATCCAGCAGTAAGTGTCTGATTTTATCTTTCTGAATGGTCTCCTGGTATCCGCTTTTATAAGGTATGTGGGTGTATATCAAAACCATTAACTATTTTAGCTTCACAGTGTAGAGGCATTTTGGTGTGAGCCACCAAAGACTGCATTGGCCATGTTCATTATATGGTCATGACACTGACCATCACCTCCAACAGCTGTATCTACAAATAAGCAGAACAAGCTAAAGCCTCAGGCACACACATGAGCTATATGGATCATTTGGGTGCTGCAAAATTATATCAAGTCCCTGAAATGCATTATGCAGATGTGCCTTTAAGGCTACCATTCTAAGCATAGTTATTGGGCAAGGTGGGATTCCCTTGCATACACTAGGAATTACCTTCAAATAAAAATGTATAGGATAGATGTCTTTTGAGGTATGGAAGAGCAGGAAAGAGCAAGAGCAGCACTTCTTCATTTAACATGGGTAGAGATTAAGAGTCAGGTGCTTCCCATCATCCAGACTCTTAAAACGTTAGTGCATATTTTTACAGTACTCTTGTCCTCTACCTTGTGAGCAGCCACACTGAAACCACTGCACATAAATGAGGATGTCAGAATTTGATTCCGAATATTAAAACATTCTACTAACCCAGGGCTAGGGAACCTGTGGCCCTCCAGATGTAATACTACAGTACCCATCATCCCTGACTGGCCTCCGCTTCAGCCTCCAAGTCTGATCTGCTCTCTGCCACAGCCTCTTCCTGCTCAGCAAACCCTGTTCCCTCTTCAGCTTCTGACACCTCCTCCTTCTCTGCTCATGCCTCTTCTGCCTCTGAACACTCGTCGTCGTCATCCCACCACCAAGCCCCTCACTCTGAGCCTTTCCCTGGGGCTTCCTTTGGGGGTTTCCCAGCTGGTGCCTCCCACCATTCCTCTGCATCCAGCTAGTCCATGACACCAGTATTCTGCCCCACACTGTGATTTCCAGGAAGCAATTCCTTTCTTCCCCACATTACACCAAAACTAGAGGCACTGACTGTGGTGTTCGTACGGAGCCCCTGGTCGTCTCACGGACTACTGACCCGTACACCACTAATCCGCTGCCACCAACCAGGTCCTCCCTGGTAAAATCATTTCAGTCTCAGTCAGCTTCTCAATTAATAAAAAGAGTGTATTTTATTTCAGACACAAACAAACTTTTACAGCATTCCAAACGTTGTTGCTCTTTACTTTCTTAGTCTTATTTTCCCTCTCTCTATCTCTTCTACCTCCCCACACTCAAGAACCCACTGCCCTAACTGTCTCTCTATTACCAACTGCCTTTCCCAACCAGCCAACCCACTAAAACCAACCAACAACTCCCAACGAACTCCTCCCAGAACTGGTTTTATAGTCCCACTGACTCCACCCCCGGGTCCTGTCTGTGCAACCTATTTAACTATTTCCCCTCCAGCACTCTCTCATATATGTTAACGTCACACTGACACCTTTCTGTTTTCCTTCCCAACAGCGTGTAGCATTAAGCCTAGAAGACGATGGGTTACCATGAGGACCACACCTGCACCAACCCCACAGCCGGTGGATTGATAGATATGCACTGAACACGCCTGCTGTGGATCACGGAGTCCACTTTCTTTTATCTCCTTCTCTCCTTTAACAGTTTATTTATGTTGCAGAAGGGTAACCACAAAGTAATAATGAACTGCAAACATCCAAAGGATGTGAGAGTTTTGTATGTATAATCTTTTATACACCTTTTAAGCTTCTTGCACTATCCATCCATAATGGCGAGGAGGCTGCTCTACTGTGGGGCTACTAACTCGGTGTATAGAACCAGCCAGACCCAAGGGTCGGTAGCATATGTGTCATTTTTAAAAGCTATATTTATAGAAATTTTGTAAATATGTCGGACATACTTTGTGGCTATCCATCAACATAAGAAAGAAAAGGAAAAAAAGAGGTCTATACAAGCCGTTTAGGATATTTATTAACAAATTCTGGATATAAGGTTTGTTCTGTACATACACTTAGAGGATGAGAGTATTTATTTTTTGTATGCTTGGCTCGCTGTGCATAGATTACCTGTGTATATACCTATCTACACTGGATAGGTATATAGACATACACATATATAAATAAGTATATATATATATAAATATATATATATGAATATATTTTAGAAAGACTAGCCCAGCTTTATGGGAAATAGGGTAATAAAATTCTTAAGGGATGTTTTGTGGAAGATTTTGCTTTGAAATCTAAAGCCTCTGAGTAAGGATTACAGCTGTTAACAGTAGGATAGTCCATAACTGTCAAAGAAACAAATGTGCCCCCATAATGAACAAACCAAATTCTGTCCTGGCAGATGAACCAGCTCATGGCTTAGACGTCTTTGCACAATTGTTGCACTCCAGGAAATCCTCATAGGCACAGGAATTCTCACTCACACACATGGTGAACCTCCCAAATACGATTCCCCATTCATTGTAAATGGAGGGAACAGCTTTGCACAGAAAGGGCTGTGTCCTCTCTCCAATGAAGTGAATGGGGAAGCCCAGAACCTCAGCACAGACATTGAGGGCAATGCCTGCAATCCCAAACCATTAATCTGACATTAGCAAGTTTAGGGTGCTAATCTTAGCATCTTTTCAAAGAAGTCTCGTTATGTTTAACTGAATATACTTCAAAGTGTGCACGTTTAGGATTACGCTTAATGGGGGTGAGTTGGGTTGCTCTGCCCCATGGATTATTCTCAGTTTTGATTTGGTTATACCTCCCACCCCGCTTCAAAAAGCCAATAGCACACAGGACAAAAAAGTCAATGATAAAGGTGACAGTGGTATCCAGAGAGGTCATCTGAACACTTTCCTATGACAGATTTCTGTAGCTTTTGATCATTAAGACAAATGGCGCTGAGTAATATTATTCTCTCAAGGGTATGTCTACACCAGCACAACTTTACATTGTTTTTTACTTCACTCTGATTAGCTTTGTGCTTTGTTGTACTGGTCTTAATTTGTACCCATTTCCCTACATTCATGCAATTCCTCATGGATTTCCTTTGTGGGGTGGTTTAAAACATGGCAAATTCATGCTGCTATAACAATTCACCCTTGCACCCATCTCTGTAACAATAGCTTTAGTATGAGGTGGTGGGAGAAACTTCAATGCAGCCCTATGCATGTTTACTCGGAAGTAACTGAGCAATCCTAATTCCCAGTCTGCATAAGTGGAGGGGTTTAGGGTGCAGCTTCCATCTGCTGTGATCAGTGAACCTGAGGTATGTCTGTGAGAATGTCAAGGAGCCTAGATTATTCAAAAACAGAAATACCTTTTTTCTCTTTCTCAAAATGGAAATAAGAGAGGTATATATGTGGGCAACATTAACAAGGTACTAACCTGCATGTGAAAAACACCTGTAGAGTGGAATGCTAGCCAGGGTGCCAAGATGCAAGCTAAGACAAAGGCAGAAGTTGCAGAATGCATGAAAATATGCTGGTGCAGACATACATCACACTTAATCATAGTTTAGCATAATGAGAACGAGCTGCAGCAAACCTCAGGCTCATATTCTTCCTTTCTCCTCCAGAGCAGCTGCTAGGAGGAGTTTGGAAGCTTTCACTTCTGGTTATAATTAATCACAGTTTGGTGCATCAACTGAACCGGGCCAACTGTGGTTAATTTTAACTGTGGCTCTTTTGAAACAGCCAACTTCAAACCATAGTTAACACTAACCATAGTTTAGGGTGCAAATGACACAGTGAACTGTTGCTCATTGAAATCAGAAGCAAAGGCTCCCAAGCTCCTCACAGCCACACTGGAGGCAGGGAAGCACTCATACATCCAAACATGTTGATCTGTTTTTATACACACCCTGTGCTAATTTCTGAAGACTGATTCATACTATTAGCTTGTGCGTCGGGACTTCACTTTTTTCTGTGCAATATGCTGCAGCTTATCTCGTCATTGCTGTTGCTGTTTATTGCAACAGTTAGTACTCAGAGTTTCTTCCTGCAAACCTTATCAGTAGTTCCTCAATGAGAAGATCAGTAAGGACAAACTTTCCCTGAAAGGCATCTTGGCCACCACTACTGATGTTCCCCTGCAATCCATGGCTGTAGGGGAGCTTGGAATGTGTCCTGGGATGCATTTTCAATAGATGGGCTGTGAGGACCAAAAAGATCCATGTGGTCTGAATATTCATCCTTAAACATGTCCCCAAATCCCCTGCAACAAGCGTAAAGTTCCTCAGTAGACAAGTAATTGCAAAGAGTTCATTGAAGAAAGTTTGAAAATTGTTGAGCTAGCAGATATGGGAAAGCAGAAAATGTACTCCCCCAGAGTCCAGGACAGTCTGGCCGTGATTCAGCCCAAGATAAAAATTTGTTATCATTATCTTCCCTTCCCCCAAATAGTTCAGGGCAACACATGTGAGTCCCTCCTCCTTTTATCTTCTCAGCAACCTTGTGAGGTAGGTTGGGCTGAGAGTGAGTGACAGGCCCAAGGTCACCCAGAAAGCTTTCTGACAACAGGAATTTGAACCTTTGAGATCTAATTAAACTTTTGGCTGAATAATTTATTACTTGTACCTCACCCATCTGACTGGGTTGCCCCAGCCACTCTGGGCAGCTTCCAACAGAATATGAAAAACACAAGAAGACATTAAAAACTTCCCGATTCAGGGCTGTCTTCAGATGTCTACAGAAAGCCATACAATTGTTGAATTCATATAATTCTGTAGCTGTCTACGGCCACTGAACCTCCAACCTGCAATCATTCTGGTTATTTTCCCTGCGGTTACTCTCCTGCAGCTCCTGTAAAATGCAAAGTTTCCAGTTCATCTGTAGTCTTTTCAGACCGATCCATTAGCACAAGAATCCCACTAGAACTGAACAGACATTTTGTACTGCTTAGTAGTCTCAAGTTAACATCAGTAACTTAAAACCCTGGATTGACATTATGAAGGAATCTCCATCTTGCAGGAAACACTTAACATGATGCGGAATCAGGCCTTTGATTTAAAGTTTAATCGTTATGAATAAAAATTTGCTGTTTTTATACTTGAGTCTATTACAAAATGTGACTGTTTGATTTATAAAGGCCACACTGTTGTTTCTATATCACTTTCAGAAAATAAATAATTTTGCAAACATAATGGCCAACCCACTTTCATAAAAGAAATCCACTTGCACAATGGATACTTTTCTTATGGATTCTCTTATCCTCCTTCTAGCCCCTTATTTGTCCCAAAAATTCTGCTCTGGAGGTCCACTACCTCTCCAGAGCAGATTTTAGGGGACATGCAAGGGGGAGTGATGAGAAGAAGCAGCTCACTTCCACTATGTTGGATTTCACCTCAAGTGATTAAGGGATGACTTTTGTATGTTAAGCAGCCATTGCAGATGAAGCCCAGCCGGCACGATTTTCATATTGCTTTATGCCACCTCAGACAAAATGTCTCACATGTTTCACTGCAGACACGACGTGATGTATGGATATATTTATGTGTGGACTCGGCATATTACACACTCGTGGTTTTTATTTTTTCAAAATCTACTGCAGGACACTTCCCAAACTATTTGATACTTGAAACTCAAGTTTGCATTTTTTTCTCCAACAGATGCTGGTCTAACAAGGCCTCTCTTCTCTACTTTTTGACTGCTTTTGGCATACATGACAGCTTGGCTTAGCATGATGTGCATGAGCTGGAACAAACCCAAATGAGCAGCAGGCTCACACACTCTCCCCTCTCTTCCACCAGTGTGGCTGTGAAGAAGACTTCGGTGTCGAGTTGCAGCTCGGCATCCAGAGGAAAATCAGTCTCACACCAAGATAGGTTCCGAAATATGGCTGCTCCTAGGGCTTATGCAGCACAGCTTTTATTGTGTGAAATGTGTGAAATAGAAAGATACAAAAAATACAAGCCAAGCAATTTGTTCTAGCCAGCAGATAAAGACCTTGGCACTAGACTATGCGAGCGATCAGACCATACTACGTTAGCCAATCATATGGGACAGCACGAGCTGTTCACGCGCTATTCATGCTCCAAGGATACTTCTAGCTATGAGATCACCCTGTAACAATAAAAACTTTGCTCATGCTCTCATGTACAAACAATCATTTTCCCACACTTCGGCACTGTTTACTTTCATTTTTACTGCCTCTCGGGCTATATGCATATTAGCAGCTTAAAATGCAGCAAGGTCCTTTTCCCACACTCCTTTTCGAGTCACTTTTTTTTTTTTACACCACTATACACCTCAGAGATGGAGCAGGGATGTCTCCACCCAATGCTCGTTATCTGATTTGTTCCCCTGCATCAAACTATTCAGTTAAGCTGTCATCTACACATGTGCAACAGTTATCTCCAATGTACATATCTCAGCTTAAGCACAGTTTATACTTTCAAATTAGATGGAAGCTGATTTGAGAGAAAGTGCATTAAATAGCATTATTTCTCAAGATACATATTGCGGATAACATCATATGTATTCGGCTTCAAACACCAGTGAGCATACTAGAGCAGAAGTAAACATTAATAAGTACACAGTCTCAGTTGATTGTTGGATACAGACCAAAAACTGAATTGTAACAAACGGGTCAATTTCAAAAGCAGTCAATTTCAAATCATGGGTGAGCTGGCTTGTTAAATTAAAATAAATTTAATTAACCAGTGTTTGTTGTAAACCACAATCCCAGATTCGCATCCAACAGCAAGCTAAAAAATGAAAAGTAAACACTCCTTCCCATTGTGCAGGAAGAAAGGGAACAAGAGGTGCTTGTTTTCTAACATGCATATTGTACTAAGCCAACAGTTTAGCATGACATGCAAACCAGTTCAGAGTTTCCCATGTTTTCTGGTATCCATGGTTCATCTCCCAGTTGCAAAAGCAGTTTATTAAGCAGCACTTGGGAGGAAGGCAATAGTAGTTACTCATAAAAATGTAAGGATTGCTACAGCTGCAGTACTCAGTGCACAGCCCTTTTTCACAGTCAGTCAGCTGTTTCACACAAGTCTATACATCAGGTGTGGGGAGCCTTTGGCCTGCCTGATATTGCAGAATTATAACTTCCATCATCCCAATTCTTGCTGGGACTCATGGGAGTTGTAGTTTACCAACATCTGGAGTGTCAAAGGTTCTCCACACCCACTATATATTACTTGTCTGGTATGATGACTCTCCAGCTGAATGTTTGAATTGTCCTCATGGAAAGTATTGTTTTATATGAAATCTGTGATAGTTCATTCACATGTGTGAGTCATCTCTTAATGACAAATGAGTGATGAAATCATGTTTGAACTGGCCACACAGGTCCCATTAAAAGAGTGTTTGTTTGTTTTTTAAGGATGTAGTATAATTTGCACTTTCAGAAGGATATGCCCTTTGTTTATAACATGTATTGAAAAACAAATATTTCCCATTTCTACTAGGTTTTGCAAACAGAGGCCTATGAGTAAATACACACTTTTGAAGAAAGCTGGAGAGGGAGAAAAGAAAATGTGATTCAATTGTTAATTTTACTACAAGGTCATGCACTATGTGCATGAAGAACAATAACAAGGAGAGATCTTTGTATGTAATAACTGTAACTAACCTCAATCTGTAAATAGATTTGAAGGCTCTACAGTTTTGATACTTTTTTAAGAAAAAACAATAAAAACCTTGTATAAATCCCATGTGTAAAAAGGCTGGAATTCCCCACCCCCCAAATCATTGTAAATTACTATGATGTGACATTTTCCTGCTTTCCAACTTGACAGATTTGTAACTAAATCAAGTCAATAACCAAATTTTCTTTTAAAAAAAGAAAAATGATTTGTTTTCCATGTGTTAATTGGGAGCGTTATAATCTTGTTTAACATTGTAACCATTTCTGACCTCTGTCTTTGTCATATGGAAGTTCCATTAGGATGCGTTCTTGCTTGGTGCCTTTTGTGTTTCTGTTTTTCTGAACAAAAGGTCTAGGGATTTGGGATGCGGGAGGGCTCTGCTATTTATAACATTTGCTGTACTTACATCAGTAGGGGGTACTGAAAACCAAATGAATACATTTGTAAGACAGTGCACTGTTTCTATAGAGATTAAAATTTTTTATTGGCAGATTGTAATGTGTTGTTTTGTTTAATGACACCCACCACCGCTGAAGAAAATATCAAACTGCTCCTAAGTCAACTTGCCAGATTACACACACAAGCCTACACATGGGTTTAGCACAAATGGCTAATTTCAGTATGAACACAAACCTAGGCTAACCATTTGTAGGATGTCATTGGCCTAAATTGGAAGCAAGCAGGAGGACTAACGCTTCCACATTTACAAAAATTATTTGCCTTGATTTATATTTTACATGTCACAGGTGGTTATTTACAAGCTTGTTCTGACTCGTAGACTTTAACATCAGAGTCTTCCTCTCATGAAACCAGTCAGTTCTCTCAATAACTGTACCTTTTAGCTACCAGTACTTGCAAAGAAAAGCTACTTAGGCTACAGTCCAACATATATTCACTTAGGAGTAAGTCTCATTAAAGTCAATCAAACTTTATTTTTTTAAAAAAAACTTTATGCCAGTGCTATTTTTCTAGAAAAAGAGACAGACAACATCAATTGGCATTGTTGTTGTTGTTGTTTAGTCGTTTAGTCGTGTCCGACTCTTCGTGACCCCATGATGGACCAGAGCACGCCAGGCACCTCTGTCCTCCACTACCTCCCGCAGTTTGGTCAAACTCATGCTGGTAACCTCGAAAACACTATCCAACCATCTTGTCCTCTGTCGCCCCCTTCTCCTTGTGTCAATTGGCATAGCCAACTTCAAAATAATTAGAAAACACTCTTGTTTTCTAATGACATCTACCGTATATTTAGTAAAACTTGTTTCTGTCATTTTTTTGAATTGGTTGTGGATTTCCTATCACGCACATCTGCACTGGGTTTGTTTGTTTTTTCAAGTATACATATGCTAGGGGCAGGACGACTGTAACACCAATATAACTCTCTTCTCTACGTCCCACCCTCCAAATGTGCTGTATCTGAACTGCACAATGTGCTTTTGTCTTTCAAGTATGCACTTGGAAGAATCCCAAGGGATGAAATAGGACATACATTCCTTCATCAGTCCCACAAACACACCAAATGGGATTTATAGTTTTGCTGTTCACTGAAATGCTGTGGATTCAATACAAATTCAAGTGCTCAATGCAAATTCTAATTTAATCCAGGTTATCCCTACTTGGTGATCCAATTAAAGTCAAGGCAATCCCTGGCGCCAATTTTGGCGTTCCTGTACCCTGAAAGACCATAAACAGTTCACATATCCTGGCTGAATAGTGAACAATATAGTTGCCACATTGTCTCAGGACTTCAGTGCCTTTAGCAACTTTGCAGAAACAAGACACCGTACAGCCTTCTCCATCGCTACATCAAGGAGGCACAGGATAAATGTAGGGTTGCTCCTGAGCATATACCAAACGCCTTCCCATCCTGTGTAAAAGGGAGAGCACGTCTGAGCATATGTGGGGGGCAGAAGGCTCTTTTCAAATATAACCACCAGAATTTAAAGCGCACACCCTCGCGGATTTGTAACCTGTCAGGCAACTGCCAATATGAAATTTGGGCTAACCGGACAACCCCAACTGAATCACTCCCAGTCATCTCGTGTTAGGACCATCCCTAGGTTGGCACCCCAGAAATGCTGAAGCTCTTCTCTCGCTCTCTTCTGAGTGTTGCTGGGTTTAACCGCAGCGTTTAAAGGGGCTGGAAAGCGATCAGTAGAAGCATTTCTTCCAAGCAGAACCCCATTCATTATTTTTAATGGGGCTCCCCTTTGCTATAACTTATTAGGGGGCGGAGGTGCAATTCACAAATACAGCACGCTAAAATCCTGCTTTGAAATAATAATAATAATAATAATAATAATAATAATAATAATAATAATTTGCTTTTTATCGCTGTTAATAACAAATCATCCCCCAAAAGATATAGAAATCCCATACTCTATTTTGCCCTGCAATAAACATGCAAAAGCGGGGAAAGAGCCCGGAAGTTAGGCAGCCTACATGAATCTAACCATAAGTCTATACATCGGCCTGGGTCTAGCGGCTCCGCTCTACTTGACCCTCGTCATCACTATGGCGAAAGCCCTTTGCACTTCGCATTGGAAGTTAAAGCAGGGCATTTAAAGTCTGAAGTGAACATAGATATTGACAGAGATGGCGTTTGACTCTATCACTCTTCTATCTCTATGGTCTTTAAACCGCGCGGAGAGGCCCGCGACAAGCAAAGCCTTGATTCCTCCGTGTGCGCCTGCGCAACCCTGCCCTTCGGTGACGCACATTTCCCGCGCTCGCTTGCACGGAGCTTCCCGTGCGCGGTGCATGCTGGTGTCTCGGCGGGCCGGTGGGGCATATGCGGCTATGGCGAGCGACTTCTATCTGCGTTATTACGTTGGGCACAAGGGCAAGTTCGGCCACGAGTTTCTCGAGTTCGAGTTCCGCCCTGACGGTGAGGCTCAGGGTTTCCGCTTGGGGAAGGCGAGAGAGGAGCTCCCCGGGATACGAGGCCTGGCGGGACGGAGGAGCGAGGGAGCCCCTTGCACCCGGAAGGGAAGAAGGGGCCTGTCGCCTGAGGAGGGAGAAGAGACCCCCGGGGGGTGGTTGGCGTGGAGGGAGGCGGGAAGGGGGTATTGCTCGTTGAGAAAAGGAAATGGGGTCGGGGAAAAGTTAGCCGAAGAGAGGAAGGTGGCTCCTGGGGAGACCGGCATTTCAGTAACAAGAGGGGTTG